TTATGCTTGCGGTTATTTTTCCGGATAAAAAGTTCATTTTTATCGTCCTGTCTTCCCCATTTCCGGTAGAGCGTATAGTAGAGGACCTTCCCAGTAGAGGAGAGGTTCCTCACAGTAGTGAATATGTACAAAGCAACAGAACACTAATTGAAATTCGGGAAATTTTTGATAATTTGACTGTCAAGCGGGAGTGTTTGATTGAGTCAGTATCTCTAGACTGCAAGTCTGCAACTGCAAGGTTGAAATTCGAAACAGCGCGGCTGAGCGCACGAATCGCGATGGTAAAAATGACCGGGTAGCATAAGTGTTATTAAAATTACAGAGATACTATGTTGCAGCTGGGCAGATAAAATTCTGAGTGAAAGTTAATTAGTTAATTACTGTTATGGTGCGAAAGGATTCGTTCTGAAGAGCTAAACCGAAAGCCGGCCCATTTCGGGAAGAAAATTTGAATAATTTCATAATTATGCAAATGTCTATATAGGGTTGTCCTGACAGTCCAGTAACTTAATAATAACAGTAGCACTATGATTCTATAATTATCTCATAAAAATACTTAGATCTATCGTTTAATCTTAGAAGCGGTTTTTTCCTGCTTCTCCTTCTCATACCAACGTAAAAAAGAGTCCTTTGATTTTTTGTTCATTACTTGAAACCCGTACTCGTCTACTGAGGGAAAGGGAACTATCTTATTTAAATTTTCTTGCCGATTAAACCGGTGCGGGAACGTTCCTTTGCTGATTTCTGGTAGACCAAACGTAGCCGGCCATTTTGCAAGGCTTTGAGGGTTGTAGTTTATACTGTCCCGGAATCGGATATTCAGCTGAGGCACATCCAATTGTAAAATCTTCCCACCATTCAGAATAACTTTCGGTACGATGCCGTTTTAAAGCAGCCAGTTCAGAATGAAGTATCCATCAAAGGACTGCGTGGAAAAAAAAATTATTTCATTAGGCGGATGAAAAAAAAACCATAGGAAAAACAAAAAGCAAAATTAAAGTAAAAACTGTTATTACCTTGAAATTATGGGCAATGATAAAGTGGTCGCGGTGTTCCTCTTGGAACAGAAATGTGCATAATTCATTCGTTATGTCACCGTGTAGCGGGACGTCATCCTCAGGAAACACCCACTCATTACCGCTGTCGTCCTGGACAACCTGCAATCAACACTTGTGTTACCAACGGTTCGAGGTTTGAATATGTTACATTTTTACTCACCGCAAGGTTAGGTATTAAATTTCCGTTTTCCGAGACATACGTCTCAAAATCAAAATACAAAAAGTCAGCGTTTTCATTCAGTTCCAGTTCATCGGCATCCACCTTGTGTGGCTTCATGTAGCACTGATGCTGTTGTGGTAGAGCATGAATTCTACACGTTTTGCACAAGATTTCACCGCATTGATGAGTATTTTCATTTTGTTGCCGCATGGAGACTATCCGCAGGCATTTCTTGCAGACAATCACCATACTGCAGATGCTCTTGCGTGATGGTTGGGATTTAGTACCAGCTTTCTTATGCTGCGCGAAGCAACCTTGACCAAAAAAGTCCCGACTGCAATCGTCACAGTGAACTATAGTGGTCGCATCGGACGGACAGAAGGACCGGAGACAAAATCGGCACGTTTGAGAGCAGCGATGATCCCCTCGGTTAAAGTATCCCTTATTGCAGGAATAACACCAATATTTTTTGCAAAAGAATGCCGGCAACGAGTTGAGCAAATCGAAATGCCGGTCGTGATGCAGTAGGACGATTTTTTTATCTTGGACAGCACCGCTCAAGACAATAAGATTTGCATGATCGACACTGACCACAACGATCTGGTACTGGGGCAGGATTTCTTAAAATTTGTGTAGATGACGTAGATTAAATTCCTGCTCCTTAAATCCAGCTCGTTGGACGAGGCACTGAGCTTCTCTTGTTTGCAGTTTCATTCTTCGCAGCAGCTTCCGGTAAAGGTTTTTGTTTTCGTCCGCGTGAGCTTTACCAATAACCAAAGCCCGGGCTAGGCAAATTTGGTCGAAATTTTTTATAACAACCACTGTTTTCATCTTTTCTAATCTTCGTCGCAAGAGGGCAATAACGTCGCAGTTGCATGTTCCTTTCGGAATATCAGTATACTGTCCGGAAATCTCAAAGGAGTCATCGATCACGAATTCCTCGTAAGAGTTTAACACCCGGGCGAGTTCAGCCATCCATCTGGTCACAGTTAACTGTGATCGTTTGATTGGCGGTGTCCATATCGGCCGGTTCAGTGAATTTCAGTCCAGCCGAATGCGAACCATTTCGTCTGGTCCAACATCTTCTAAAAGGGTCTCCAGTATGTTCTCGATGATCTGGGTGATGACCACTGGAATATCGGAAAATGGCACTTTTTCAAGTTCCGAAACTTTTACCGAAAAGCACTTGAAGAAGCCGGTACTTATGGGAAAACTTCTCACCGGTACATTCAACGCTAATAAAATCTTCTACTGCATATGGTGCATCCATATTCAAGTTATCCATCGTTTCACAATTTTATCTATTGAAAACATAACTGTTGCGTTTTGTGCGTTTTATACTAGCGCAAATATTTTTTTTAATTATCCCGTTATTTGTAAACAACGGTATCTTGAACCGCCTGTGTATAATTTACGTATGGATCATTGAAAACGATTACAATACGTACTAGCGCTACTAGAATTGTTTATATAGGGATCACTGAAAACATTATAACTTGTATTTCGCTTGTACTGCACCTGGTACTAATGATGACCAGAAACCATTACAACTTGTACTAGTAGTATCCAGTAATATTTCTTATTTGTCCAACGCAAGATAAACGCACATAAATTTGTTTTTCGCATTCGCTTGTTTTTTAGCAGTCAGATTCAACAAGATAAACAACAGTTTCAGGAAACTAATTCGGGAAATTCCACAGTATCTGGAACCAGGTCAGCAAATCTACCTCTGTGAGACTGTATATATTCAACCGCATGCAGATTAAGGTTAACACAGCCTTCATAAGTGTTAAAATGCGAGACGCGTGTTAACGTCAGATTTGTAGTCGCTGCCTTATGGCGCGACTTGCTACCATTTACAAAATCCCGATACCACCCCAGCAGTGTTGGACTGATCCGGCGATACGGTGGTACAGAAACTTCTCTCCCGTTATTGCAATCCACAACATACTTAACGTCTTTGTGCCAACCACCCGCAAAAAGGTATTTGAATAGCACCTGTAGTTCTTGTCGCGTAATTTTCAGAATACTTTCCTTAGTGAAAAACACAAGCATTGCATGGCTAAACCACCCGTCACTGTCGATGGAACCATCAAAATACATCAGCAAATTCCCCGCTCTGACGTCCCACGAGACGTGGCGCAAAGGGGCTGGCATCATTTTATTTGTGCTCGTTTCACGATTCGTACGCATCCACTTAGGAGCAACCGGTGGCAGCAGCGTCAGCGCAATGGCCTCGGAAACCCATCCTCCTAGTACTACTCCTTCATCCAATAGGATTACAGTCGCCGGCGCACTGTAATCGTAGCATACTGCTTCGTGACCTACAAGCGAAAAACGCAAACATTAAACGCAAGATTTTTAGTGAATCTGGTAACTAACAGAGCAGGTTAACAACATGGGATAGGTTTTCAGAGGATTGAGTTTTAATGAAACAAAATAATAAATTAATAAAAAAATATCAGATTGTTGTACGATTACCGTGGTTGTCCGCCCAATAATTCTGTACTGGAAGCGGTGCAATCTCGTTCTGCGTTTCACTGTGACCTTCCGTCATACAGATGTCCTCCGCAGCGATGCTCGAATCAACCGGAAATTGATATATAAATGAGTCAAAATAGTCCGCTAAAACAGATAAGATATCCTTCAGCTAACAGGAGAAATATTAATTGAATGACCTTAAACAAACTGAATAAAAAATAAATGTTGGAAACTTAAATTAGAAATAATAAAATATTTGCGTTGCGTATACGAATATCGTAGACCGAAACCGTGAAATATTTTCGGTCACATACCTGGAAAGAATTTCTGATTTTGCTCAGCACTGAACACCAATTCGTTTCTCACTAATAAAAAAAAATTGTAATTAAACACAAAATAAAAATTTATTTAGATTACAATAAAAGGTAAGTACGAATGTATTATTTACACTGTGCCGATGTGTGGTCTTTCTCCATTCTACCAAGGTCCTGACTGGTTTCCGATCCATTTATTTCTTTGAGCCAATCGTCTAGCCACCCGTATTCATCTTCCAACACATCACGAACGGTACCCGTCTGGACGGTCGACATGGGTGTGGTGCCATTAAGTTCCTGAGCCTGTGCAGGTTCGTTCAGTTCTCCCAGTACTTCATCGAGCCACCCGTAGTTGAACGAGACAGCAGTATTGGAGGGGCTAGCGCTTTGCGCAAAACGGGGTGTATCTGCATCTGGTGCAAATAATTCTTCTAAAAAATTATCCATGTTTCAATGATAAAAACCGAAAAAAAATCACAAAATAATTTTGCTTGTTGACCTTATAAAGTATTCCGGAATCTTAGTCTTCTGCTGGAAGTAATCGTTTTTAGTTATCAGGTGCCTAGCAACTTTTTTTTATGGATCACGGAAGTCAGTGATTCCTACGTAGGGATCACTGACATCAGTGATCCCTGTGTGCCTACATAAAAGACGGCAAACTGTGTCAGAATTTATTCAGCTTTTTGAAATTGTTGTTCTTTAAAATATAACTTTATAATGTATACCGTTGTCTTTCTTACGCTCTGCTGTGGCGCTGCCATCCTTGCCATGGATCCTTCTGACAGGCCGCCTTACATTAATCGTAGCTTTCATAACCGTTGGGGACCCAGCCGCCGCCCTCCTACACCATACTGTGCGCAGCCGGGTCGATCACTTACGCCATCACCCACTGCCACACTGGTTTTTTGTCCTCCAATGTTTCCCGTTCGCGAGACCTACTCACCCGTTCAGTCTTCACCGCCACGCTTCCAATTTGGTCCGCTGGCATTCAATCCCACAATCCTTTCCCATGCGCTGAGATCACCTGGTGTCCAAGCAGCGATCGCGGCAGCTCTTGAGGTCTCTCCGCCATCCGATCTACAGTTATCCCCAGTTGTCCGCCACAGTCCTCCGCTCTTTCCTCCTTTAACACCACCAGTATCGTGGCCAGTTCCGCATTGGGCCCGCGCTATGCCTTTTGCACTGCCCCCGATACGAGTATTAGCTAAACAACACCAAACCACGCCTGCAGTTACAGAGATTTTAGAGTCGTATTCTCCTATCTCGTCACCGTCACCACCCAGTTCACCTGTTTTATCGCCAAACGTCTTCCCCGTGGTACCCGATTCCCCGGAATCGCCCGCTCCTGAAAACGCCCCGACCATGCTGTTTCATACCCAACAACCACTGCAGCAATATTCGTCGGGGTTTCTGGGAACTCGCCACCACGCGATTGAATCGCAGTTGCTGGACCTTCTGCGACTCAGCACCAGAATCCTCAACGGACCACCTGAACATCGGTTGACTGGTGTCCTCAACCTCCGCGGTAAGTCTCACCTGCAATTTCTTTGACAAAACAAAACTACACCGTTTGGCACTTGTATAATGCTGCTCTTTTTTTATAGACTTAATTACGGATTACGCCTACATTCACCATCGGACCGCAGCATTTTACCACACGATGCCATACACTACCAGAGAGCACTACACGGAGAACGCATCCGCCTCTTTACACAACTGCTAAGTTATTTATTTTTCCTTAGTTTCCTTTTGCGTTCTTCGCCATGTTTATAAGTTATTTTATTTTTTCCATGGTTTTACGTTTGTGATAACAAGGACTGAAAGCTGAGTAGTAATTTATTGTGCTTTCACTCAGGGTAAAAACGTGTACTGACGTAGGTTGCCAGGATAATAATTTTCTACTACATAATGCAACATAATACATAGTACTTGCAACCAGCCGTACGATAATTCTTTCTCAAGTACCTACAGTATACCACACAACTCAATAGAAAGGCAAAGTAAGCTGATCGCAGCGCACACAGGCATTACTAGTAGTACAATTACAAGTCACTCAAACATTCTTAGTACGTACGTACGGTACACAGTACTACCGATTTGGCTTAAAAAGTCAGATGTCCTTTCGGACGTTCTTTCTGCAACAATTCGGAATCTGTCCATGTCCGACCATATAGCTTCTGGTTAGATAATGAATCCATACTACCTCGCCATGTCTACATTATGGTGTACCAATGCTCTTGTTCAGTAAACAATAACTAGTGCAGTAGCTACAATAGTGCAGACCGAATTGTTTATTCGTAAATAGTCTGCTCTGTTTTGCCTGCACTACTGTAAAGCGGATAAGCGGCGCTTATATTATAGGTCAGATACGTTGCATAGTGCCACAGATAGTCGTCGTCAAAATGCTATGGGCCCGGAAAAACCTTGGCCAGTGGTGAAATGGGCGTTTATTATTCATATATTAATTGAGCGCATACTAACATTTTCACGACAAAAAAATTAAAAGAACAGTAAAGGTTTCCATAAGCTACGGGTAGTGGATATAAGTTAACCTTTAAGCAGATACAAATACGGTATTTTCGATTTTGGAACGCTTGACCTTGACAAGCTATCTGTATACGCAAAATCAGAAACATATTGCACGTTATTTGCACACAAATCTGATTTTCAAATCAAATTGTTTGTATAATTTTACTTGCGATGATAGACCACACGGGACTACGGAGACTATAGAGACTAAACGGGAGTACGGGGACTACACGGGACCACGGAGACTGCAAAGAATGAACGGGGCTACGGAGACTACAGAGTTTACACGGGACCACGGAGACTACAAAGACTACACGGGACTACGGAGACTACACGGGACTACGGAGACTACACGGGACTACGGAGACTACACGGGACTACAGAGACTACACGGGACTACGAGACTACACGGGACTACAGAGACTACACGGGACAACGAGACTACATAGACTACACGGGACTACGGTGACTACACGGGACTAAGGAGACTACAGAGACTGAACGGGACTACGGAGACTACAGAGACTCCACGGGACTACGGAGACTACGGAGACTACACGGGACTACGGAAACTACAGAGACTACACGGGACTACGGAGACCCACACGGGACCACAGAGACTACAGAGACTACAAAAGACTACATCCGAACTAAAGAGACCTTGCGAAACTTCTGGTATTACGGCGTACTCCGGAAACTGCCGAGGCTACAGGCGTCTACATGCGCTACGGGACTACACGTTAAAACTGTGATCCAGAAAATAGACGTGTACGAACTGTGCCATATCTACTCGAGCACATGAAGTTGCTAATATGTACATGCAACGTCTTATTATAGCTTTTACAATTATTGAACAGTTGTCTAAATCACTGGAAATTGTGATTAAGAAAAATTAAAATCAAAATAATGATCCAAAGGCTCGGTTAGAGCCACTGCTGAGGCGAACTCATTATGGGCAGAAATCGGGCTCTTATTGTATGAGTTATGAATTGGACGCTTGTGACGGCGGCTGAACTGATTCAGAAACAACGGAGGCGGCACTGATCTCGGCGGCGGGCCGCCACACTGCATTGGGCATTCAAAAGTTAAACTCCGTCCAAAGCTGGCCAGAACAAACAACAATGCAGGGAAAAAGAACCTGCGGTTTCTTCCAGGCAGCTAGCAGGCAGCTCGTGCTCAGAACTGTTAACGTTCGGTGACACCTTCTTGTTGTGCTTGCGGATACTGTAGCCGATGTAGTTGACAGCACATACATTTCTCTGTTCTGTTTCTGATCGCATTTTCATCATATTTGGAGAGATGATGGAAAACAATCTGTTGACACTGATTTTCTAAGCGCCCTTAGTAATTGCGAACCTAACAGTTCAACCGTGCAGGAGCATCGAAATGGTTTTTGATGATTGACGGAATTGCGATGAAAGCGCACCCGGAAAACTGGGAGTGACATTTCGCCGCACTCTACAGCCATCACTCGCCCCATTAGTAGAACTGGAAAGACGGCAACATTTTTCTATACATAGGTTTCTTAGGTTTACAATGTATAGCCATATCTAAGCAATTGCCACTTTCCACGTTTTATCGCTTGCCAGAACGCATAATGGCAATTGCCACTGCCGGTGGCAGTAGCCAGTGGCAGGTGCCACTGCCACCTTTTATCCCCTGCCCCTGGGATGTTGCTACGATCCATTTTGCATCAGAATTCCATGCTGGCAGTATCATTTCGAAGATCTAGATAACTGCAAATTTGCTGCAGCTTTTCGGATAACACTGGCAGAATTTTGTCCAGTACTGGAGCGCAGTAAGGCGGAAACTCTGATCTCCTGGATAGATTCCCTGACAGAGAAAGATTTAGAAGTAAATCAGTGTATTTCGCCGTATCTGGAACTGTCTTATGAGCTGAGTAGACTACGTAGAACGGACAGGTGAGGATGAAAGTGGAAATAAGTTGTGCCATAAACTGGCTTTTTGGTTTTGCAGATGGGACGAAGAACCACCAAGCAGCTTGGATGATGTGATATTGAATATATCCAACAGGATTTCCACCGAAAGTTTGGTTATGCAGACCCTTGCTTTGCTACTGCCGTGTAGTCCAGGCGACTCTACAAAGTAGCAGCTTTGTTGACGCGGCCGAACCAATCGCTTGACGGACTTCTGCCGGCCGGTGGAAGCAATATACGAGGATGCACGCAGTCAAACCGACAGTAAATTTTTTCCGCGAGACCAACCGACAACCGTGCACATAGTGCAAGCGACTGCCAACCATCCATGGATGGCTGTCACCTGTACCACGCATACAGTGCAAACGACACCTCCCTTCCACGGGTGGCTGTTATGTGAAAAAATAATCCACTTGTGAGCGTGGTTGTCGGTTGGTCTCGCTGAAAAAATTTACTGTCGGTTCGACTGCGCGCATCCTCGTATGCATGTAATGTATGTGAACTGAAGGGGCGGAGCACCAGTGATTTAAGTGAAACTGATGAAATGAACCGGTTCAATTTGTCAGTTCGAGCATCCAGTTACTCTTAACTCTAGTAGGGGCGTTCCTATGAGTTTCAGTGTATCCCACTTGCTTATTTACCGGTAAGGCGGTAACTAATAACTAAGTGCTTTCTTAACAGCCAGTTTAATTACCAGTTGCTCGTATTTTGTTCCCGATGTGGACGAAACATTTGGCACTGGGTGTGATGCCGCAAGTGCTTTGTTAAAAAAGACCAGCAAGAAGCTGTTTATCAGAACGGGCCATACGCGCTTTTTTAATCTTTGCGTTTGAAGATAATGCGATAATGCGACAGTGCTATAAGGCACGAACCCTTCACATGCCAACTGGCACCAGTTTCATTTGAATATATTTTTTTGAATGATAATATGAATAAATCTATGCATTCTTATTGGTGTTGTTCGTGGTTTCCAGTAAATTCAGCAGTAAATTCAGCCAGAGCTTGCCATCGAAGTACCGTACGTAATACATACTGCCATCTTACAAGTTTCTAAAACGACTGCTTCTTTTCTGTTTTTTTTCTGTTTCAAAAAAAGGCTGAGCTGGTAGACACTAATTACGGACAACTGATTCAAAATTTATAGGACAGCTGCAAATTAACGGCTTCTTGAAAGTTGATAGACAGACTGCTGCGATCCTATCGTGTAATTTATAACTTTATTAACTTTTGCAGTTAATAAATCGGTGAACGTAACGTCCGACTGATCCGATTCCGAGTATCTACGAGATCGCAAATGGCAACGAGCAAATATGCACTCGAAAAAATTGCAAGCTGCTGTAATCTTACGGAACAAATGAATTAAGCGGTTCACATTAGGCCAACCTGATGCCCGTAGCGAGTCCTTAATCAGTATAACTTAGGTACAGGCTGTAATTAATGATAAGTACAGTCTGTACTGTCTGTACTTGTACATACAGTGCAGGGACATCAAGTAACGCAAACAGTGTAAATTAAATTTCAAACACAACGCAAATTAAATTATATTTTAATAGGCAGTGGCCATCCAAATAACAATAACTGCAGACGCTGGCACACTACTTGAAATTTAAAACCGTTAATCTATCGTGTCGCAGGTCACTGTCGCTGCCGTCGCGCCATGTTTCTTGCTACGCCGCCTGCGCATAGGACCAGCAAGGTCGCGGCGGTAGCGGCACTGTCACGCTTATATACCGCGTCGCTGTAGTCGCGTCGTCTTTCTGGCTGTACCAGGGCATACCACTAGCACGGTCGCTCCTGTAGCGGCACTGTCTCGCATCCGTACCGTGTCGCTGTCGTCGCATCGTATTATTAGCTGCCACTTCTCAACTTCTCTGTTAGTAGTCGCGAAGTTTGGTCCGCAACGAGACAGTGACAACAGACGCCAGGTTTGGTACAGATCCAGCCACTTCTGAATGCCAGCTACCAGGTGATCGCAGCATAAAACGCCGATTAAAACGAAACCATCCACCTTGACGAAACTATCGAACTATGTACAGTACTAGTACTCACTTGTCAGTTTATATACGAGGAGGGAACAAGCAGTCAAGACTCGAATAGTCAAGACTCAAGACACTTTGAACACTCGTGTGGCTGCAAATCTGGCTTAACAGTCAACCGCGGAAGGCTGACAATCCACGTTTTAACTTGGCCAACGCGTTCCTAACGCGAAAAGAGCTCCTCGTAGACCTGACGCTATAACGAACTCCCACCCACAGCC